AGAGCCCAGCCTGTCTGCCTCACAGTGTTGACTTCCTTTTTGCTCTTCTCTGATTCGTCGAGGTCCGCTGTTGACCTGTCAGCACACCTGGTTTGTGCTGATGTATTCGGTCCGCTTTCTTTCCCTTCAGTGTCAGAGTCTGATGACCATTCATTCTGTAGATCGAATGTTATCTGAGAAAATATGTCCATCTTTGCTGTGCGAAGTCGGTCAAAATCCAAGAGTTAACGGAAGCAACGTTAATGATTAACTGAGAACACCTGCGCACAGCGGAGTGATACTGTTTGTAAACAGTCCAGGTGCTGTTATAGTCCAATATCAGCACTCTTGCAAAGTCTCTTGACCAATCAAATCACTCGGTCGGAACTAACTGTTGTATAACATCCTTTTGAGACCAGATGTTTATGTTCTTAGGGTTAGGACCTCATAATGTTGTTCAAATGAAAAAAACTAAATATTTCATTATTATTTTCTTTTCTCCTCAAAAGAAATGAAAGTTAAACCTCAATATGAGGGAGAAAATAAAATATAATTTAAGAAGCAATCAACTGGACAGCTATTAGCTATATTTAGCATTTTTGCAACTTAAATATTTAATCTTCTGTTCTTACTTTATGCATTTAGGAAAAATAACTGAAGTAAAGCTAAATGTTCAAAATGTAACCAAATAATATATTTAAATTCAATACAGTTTAATCTACAAAAAACAAACAACAACAAAAAAGCTAAATATTTACCAAACAATAACTTCAGATAGTCATACCTGAAAGGTAACCTACCAACGTGAAAGAGGGATGGAGAAAGTCCCATCTAATGTCTTGTTAAAAAAACGTGATTTTGAATGTTTTAAATGTTAAGTGCAGTTTTCATTGACTGAGACTCTATTTCCCATGATGCTCTGCTGTATTCAGCCACACAGGTGTTTGACATCAACTGCCCTGTTTAACTAGGGACTGTTTTGTGTGAACCTCCACAACTCCTGATGAAGGCCTCTGACCGAAAGCTCAACTAATAAAGCTCTCACGGATAAGCGGATTCTTATCTTGTTTGTTTTTGTTAAAAAACGTTCAAAATTAAATATTTAGATTTGATCTTGAACATTTAGATTCAGTTAAAACATTTAGGTTTTAATTTAGTTAGAATAAACTTATTTTAAAGCTGCTTTCTGGCGTTTTCCTCTTTCAGAAATTATGTATGATGTGTCAGAAATCCGTAAAAGTGATTATCTTATCATGTACTGTGATTTAATATAAGCAATTCGTCTTTTTTATTTATTTATTTTTTGCTAAGCACGCCCCCTGCCCCGCAGAGCTCCGTGCAATAGGAAACCGAGCGCCGACCAAAACTAACCAGCAGCATTAGACTGCCGCTTAGACGCTTCAAATTTAAGGAATACCTCAGCTGACGGAGAGTTGATGAATTTTCACGGACAAGAAGGTCTCTAAAATATAAATATATGAAAAACACAAGAGAATAATACTCATAAAACAACTTGTTTTAGCGGTTTGTCGGCTACAGAAGCACATTTATAAAACAGAAACGTGAAGTCGCCATCTTAAAAAAAAAAGCTCTAATTTCCCTCTGGGATTAATAAAGTATCTTTGATTTGATTTGATTGATTTAAAAAAACAGAGGAACAGCGTTTTTGTGTGACACGCTTGTCAGCCACTAGATGGTGCCATTGGATAAGAGAAATACTCCGGAAGGAAGCTTTAAATCTAAATATGAAATCATGAATACGACTAAAAGCATAAAATATAGCGCCCTATAGAACTCTGGTGGGAATGTGAGGAAAAAATTGTGTTTCGGAACACAGAAGCCACTGATGTGACGGATCAGATGGCGGGCTAAACAGATTAGGTCGCGCTGCTCCCATGGCATAACCCAGAGCATTAGTGTTAATGGAAAACTACACAAGCTTGCTGTTGCCTCTAAGCAGCTCCATTTTAAATCCAAGTGGTTCGACGGAGGTCTGGGGGGGGGGGGGGGGGGGGGGGGGGCTATGGAAAGTGCCTTTCCCTCCTCTTTTAGTATCCCAGAGGTCACCAGAAAGGTTCTCTGAGGTGAACAGTAACCAGACTCTTATTGCGCGCCGTGCTATCTCATGCATGTAGCTGCTTTATCATTCCCACAATAACATTCAAATTCAAATTCAAAGATACTTTATTAATCCCAGAGGGAAATTAGAGCACGATTAAACTTCAGCACCCTAACGGATGTAAAGGAGTTTGCCCAGCTAAGAGCTAGGGAGGGCAAAGGACATTTGTACCCACAACAAAAGAAGTAAAATAACACAAGCAGGATAAAATGCTGCAGAAATGTTTCCATAAACACCCAGAAGTGCATTTGCTGTCCTGTGATGTGGTGCTCGGCTGCTGTGGTGGTCATCAACACAATCTAATCACATTAAGAGTCACTTAAATTGGTTTATGCAAACAGACAAGGCTTAAGGGATTACCGGCTGTCAGACATCATATTCTCCTTTCAGCCATGACGCTTGTTCCTGATGGACTTTATGTGGATAAAGCCCAATGCATCAGGAGTCTGGTCATCATCGCCATTCAGCAAAGGAAGGACAATAATGCTTTTGCCTGCGTCTGCATGTGTTCATAAAGCAGCCGAACATATTTTACTGAAACCGTTTTTATCTCCACAGCTTTACTATGTTGGAACGTCGTTAAGAGGCACGAAAAACTGCTTTAAGCTTTTTTTTTTTTTTTTTTTTACAAATTTGCTATTGCAGCTTAAGCATAATAAAGTCACCTGATTAAAGATGGCCGCCGCAACTAAAAATCCACCAGGGTAATAGGTGTTGAGCTGCTGAGGCTGATTCATGACTAACTTTCAAGATCCGACCAAAACAAACTTATAATCTGAGCGACCTTAAATGTAAACAGTGTTTAGACCTAATAATAATAACAACAACTATAATAATAATAATTATTATTATAACAACAACAATAATAATAATAATAATAATAACAAACATTTTATCTGAACTGCTTTCGTTTTCTGCTCAGTGAGAAAGTGTCGACGTGTCTGTAAACAATTACTGGGAGGATCAGAAGGCTTACTGAGGGCTTTTATAGAGCAGTTTTTTCAACTATCACTGAGCAGCCGTCTAAACTGTGGGTTACAAAGCTCTCAAGAACACTGCAAACCAAATAAAGAGCTGGGGGAGGAGGGGGAGGCAGATAAAAGCTGACACCCGATGTATTAGAGCTGGGCTCTGGTAGATATGAGCTCTGCAAGGACGAAGCAGCACAGCTTAAGGCTAGGATAGCGCCTGCTCACTGTGCTCTGTGTGTGTGTGTGAGTGTGTGTGTGTGAGTGGTGGTGGTGGTGGTGGTGGGGGGGCATGATTATCCTGGACTAAAAATTCAGCATGAAAACAAAAAGTTTTTTCCTCCTATTGAGGTGATTTTAGGAGCAGTTTCAGCACCCTAAATCACCTGACTTTTTTAAAGAGCAAGTCACCCCCAAATCAACATTTTTTCCTGATAAACTATATAAACGTGTGTCTAATCGCGCTGCAGACACGTGTAGTCAATAGTTTTGCACTTTAGTGCATTTTAGTTAACATTTAAATTTTCTGCCTAAAACTGTCAGTGTTGTGCCGTTGTCAGGTAAAAACTCTGCACTGCATTTGAATTTAAATCTGCCATCGCTATTGGCTAAGAGGTACCCTAGAACGTTAGCTGATACCATATGATGTCACAATGTCGTTGTGAGCCTGTGTGTGTGTGTGTGTGTGTGTGTGTGTGTGTGTGTGTGTGTGTGTGTGTGTGTGTGTGTGTGTATTTGTTAGCGGCTCCGCCCGCTCGGTCTGCTAGGCAACAGCATTTGTTGCATTTTTCAAACAGGAAGTGGGAGTGGAGTAATACTCTGGTAGGGGGTGACTTGCTCTTTACGAGTTTATTTTGCATCTACAATTTTTAACTTGTAGGAAATGTTGTGATCTGTGGGGGAAACTGGAGGACCCGGAGGAAACCTATGCATGCATGGGGAGAACACACAACTCCACGCAGAAAGGCCACAGCTGAGTTTCGAACCTGCAACCTTCTTGCTGCGAGGCAACAGTGCTAACAACTGCGCCACCATGCAGCCCAGCAACACTCTCCACTCCCTCCCTGGGAGATCCCCAGGCATTCCCAAATGGTAGACTAAAACATCAGCGGGATAGTAGAGCATGCTACAATATGGAAAAACTTCTACATCAGGTGTTTTTATGGAATCAGGCCTCTGTTTGTGTTTCTGAGTTATTGTTTCTTTGCTTCTCTTCTTTATTTATTTTTTAAACCCGACTCGTGCTTGAAAGGATCTGACAGTCAGGTGAGAGGGTTGGAGAGATTTCACTCTGGATAAGTGGCTCTTATTCCTGTAGAGTGTGACACCGCTCCTCTTTATAATGATTCCTAGTGCTCTTGACACATGATAGCGCAGATATTCAGAGGATTGCCGGTTCTCATGCTGCTCATGATTTTATCTCCAGACTCTGCTTCGTGAGCTGAACAGAAACACAAACGTGGACTCGATAAAAACCCCTGAGTCATACCTAATTGGGAAATTGTGTCCTTTCAAATTCAGCTCAGTTGTGTTTTATAAAATGTTTCAGTTCCAACAACATCATCCAGAGGGTCCAAATACACAAACCCCTGTAGCTCACATGCTAGTTTGGCCAACAACGGATGACATGATGCTTCCATCCTTAAGTCGAAAGTGTGCCACAAAGCTAAAGGTGACATGCGTCCACAGCTGATCTCAGCTGGCTTCTACACATCCATCATGGCTGCCTAACGTCCAGTCAAGATAAAGCCAAGCTCCAGAACAGTTCCAGGTTTAGAGGACACACCTGGGATGACCCCACCACTAGGGGGTCAATCTTTTGAGACACTCTCAAATGCTGTTGTCTTTATAAAAACAATGTATTTTTTAACAGCTTTTGAACCGATTGTTAGAAATGGGAGCTTGCCCGGGATTGGGAGATTGAAAAGACTAACCGGGGTCTTGCTGCAGGACCATCTCTGACAGATCCTCCTGGTGGATGAAGAGAAGCAGACCTCCAACACCAAACAGCAGGACGAACCAGAAGAAGCAGGGCAGCCTCCGTGCCGGTCCAAACAGGGAATCCTTCGTCAGCTTCGCCTTCATCCACACCATGATGCCGCACAGCAAGGTGCGCAGATGGTAACTTCTGCAGAAACAGAGTTTCATCTTTAATAAATAAAGAAGCACAAAACAAGATGAATCCACAAAACTTAACGCATTGAAAGGTTTTATATTCCAGGAGCAGGTTTTCATCCGTAACTCCACAAACAACAACTTTACAAAAATGTTTTAAACAAATTTCTGTTGTCTCACATGAGCCTCACAGCTTTGATGTCGCGACACTGTGATTTTAATTACAGTCCAAAGTATTTGTGCAACAGACTGTTTTTCTCATTTAATCATCAAAGCCACCTGGAACCGGTCTGGTATTACTTAAAGGGACATTATGGAAGTCTGACGGCCAAAACATGTATAGAAATAATAAATGTCTTCTTCATACATTCTCCTGCAATGCCCTGGTCCTGTAGAATGAGCCCTGGCATTTTTACTGTGATTGCCTGTTTTTCTGTAAAATCACAGAAAAAGAGAGATGCTCGGGTCGAGCAGGCTGCTTCATGCGCGTTCACGCTCAGGCATCGCCCGTAGCATTTGCTATCCGTAGCTTTAGCAGCAGAGAGAGAGGCAGTGCCACTTTGTCGCTGTTCCTAACGCCTAGTGACAAAGCTAGCTACATTTCTGAGGACCCTTAGCTACTTTCTGTAGAACTTTCTTCTAGATATTTCCTGCAAATTAGCAACAAAATAGCCATTTTCACTCCGAACCGTCCTTTGAACGTTGTTTCAGCTGTCATCAAGGATATAAAAGTTACAGATCGAGAAGATACCACTGGCGCTATAGCTCGCCTAATAAGATGTCTGACTCCCGTGCAGGAGACCTGGTTTCGATTCTGGGTGTGAACATAGTTCATTTAGAGTTTCTTTTTTACATTAATGGTATAATTTTTTACAGTAAGATGCACAAATTTTTATGTGAGACTCGCCGAACGGCATTGAATTCACAGATAAAAAAAGATGTGGGTTCAACTTTCATTTTGGAACGATTTTTCTAGCAAGGGAAGGGAATGATCTGAGCATGCAGGAGGACTGACCCATCATAAACCTTTGTCGTCTGTGCTGAAGAGAAAGATACAGAACCAAATTATTTAACTAATTAGCTGCATGTTCTCCTGTCCTCTGTCCTCGAGGCCACACACACACACACACACACACACACACACACACACACACACAGGACTGTCTCAGCTGTTATTTTCGTTAAGGAGTGTGCACGTACAGCATGCGCGCCTCGTGCACGAGCCCACCATTGAAGCTGCCATTACGCTTTTGGCCTGAGGGGGCAATCACGAGCATAAAAATTCAAAACTCCGTAAAGTCGCTTCAAGGAGGAATCGGGAAACAAACAACAACTATAACTAAAACAGTAACTCTGGATATTTTAGGCTTTTAGTCATCATAAAATGTCTACTGTAATAATGTGTGTGTGTGTGTGTGTGTGTGTGTGTGTGTGTGTGTGTGTGTGTGTGTGTGTGTGTGTGTGTGTGTGTGTGTGTGTGTGTGTGTGTGTGTTTCAGTGGATTAAGTCCATAAAACAATAAAAATGACATTAAACCCGTCAGAAGACATCAGGCTGTAACCTCTCACCTCCATCTGCAGTAACTGTAACACACCAGACTGAAAGCTGCGTAAAGTCGAGGTTTATTTGTGTTGCACGTGTAAATGGCAACAGCCGTTACCCCAAAGTGCTGAACACTGGCGGTAAATATAAAAGCATTACCATCATTAAAGCTAACTGAACATTACAAAAAGTTTAACTCACAGACGACCAGGACGAAATACATAGTATCAGTTCCTAAAATGTAAAACATCAGTTATGCTCATAAAATACATTTAAAAGATTAAAAACAAAAGAAAAGAAAGAAAGCCTGCGGCCACAAGGTTGTCGCTGACATACCAAAGCATACAGATGTGCTTTTCCGAGGACGAGGAATCAGCTGTTTTCACATGGAGGGGTAGACTGTTCCACAGGACTCTAGGACCCTTAGTTTTAAGCACAATCTGCGTGTAACTAATAGGTGGAGATCTGCTGATCTAAGCCTCCTGGACGGGACATGCGGCTCGATCAGGTCACACAGATGAGAGGGAGCTAAACCATGCAAACATTTAAAAACTTGTAGCAATATCTCAAAGTCACTCCTGAACTTAACAGCAAGCCAGTGAAGATCAGTCAGTAGGGGGATATGATCCTGTTTTCTTGCACCTGTAAGAAGGCGTGCATTCTGTGGGCGACCTAGCACGATGGAGGCAGGCCAGCATTTAGTGGATTACAATAGTCCAGTCTAGAAGTAATCATGACATGAAGAAAAGCAAAAACATCCATAGAAACATAGGCATTAACCCTACTGAGCAGCCTCAGTTGGAAGAAATTAGACTTCACTACAGCACTGATCTGATCCACTAATCCCAAAGTTCCTGACTGTACGATGACAATAAGAGAAAAGAACTCCAAGGCTACAATTCTGGCTGAGCCGTGCAGTAGGAGACCCAGAAATGATGATATTTCTCTCATTCAGTTTAAGAACATTTGCGTCCAACCATGTCTAAACGTCTTTAAGGCAATCTAACAAATCCTGTGAGAGACAGCCACTATTAACACATCATGTTTATGTATTTAGCAGACGCTTCTGTCCAAAGCAACTTACAAGTGATAATCGGCATGTTGCCCTTGAGGCTAGACGATCAATATACTGTGTATTAACACAAATAATATAATATGTATTAACACAATCAATATAAAATGTATTAACACCATCAATATACTATGTATAAACACGATCAATACACTATCAATTAACAGTATCAATATACTATGTATTAGCACTATTAATATACTATGTATTAACACTATTCATAGAATATGTATTAACACTATTCATAGAATATGTATTAGCACTATTAATATACTATGAATTAACACTATTAATATACTATGAATTAACACTATCAATATACTATGCATTAACACTATTAATATACTATGAATTAACACTATCAATATACTATGCATTAACACTATTAATGTACTATGTATTAACACTATTAATATACAATGTACTAACATTAATATATACAACGTATTAACACTATCAATATACAACGTATTAACACTATCAATATACAACGTATTAACACTATCAATATACTATGTATTAACACTATTAATATACAATGTAATAACATTAATAACATACAACGTAATAACACAATTAATTTACTATGTATTAACACTATCAATATACTATGTATTAACACTATCAATATACTATGTAATAACACTGATAATATACAATGTAATAACACAATTAATATACAACGTATTAACACTATCAATATACTATGTATTAACACTATCAATATACAATGTACTAACATTAATATATACAACGTAATAACACAACTAATATACAACGTATTAACACTATCAATATACAACGTATTAACACTATCAATATACAACGTATTAACACTATCAATATACAACGTATTAACACTATCAATATACTATGTATTAACACTATTAATATACAATGTAATAACATTAATAATATACAACGTAATAACACAATTAATTTACTATGTATTAACACTATCAATATACTATGTAATAACACTGATAATATACAATGTAATAACACAATTAATATACAACGTATTAACACTATCAATATACTATGTATTAACACTATCAATATACTATGAATTAACACTATTAATATACTATGTGATAACACCCTTCATATATTATGTAATAACAATATTCATATACTATGTAATGACTCCATTCATATAATATGTAATAACACTATCCTTATACTATGTAATAACACCATTCATATACTATGTAATAACACTATTAATATATGTCCACCTGCAGGTCTTTCACAGACGTATGAAAGTGAATCCCATACTTGTATTAAATACAACGACTACAGAAAACCAAACCCCCAGGAGAGGTTTTGCGTTTGGAAATCGTTTTACTGAACTTCACTCGGGTCAGAAAAGTGTAAAAAAACAGAAAGGTGAGCGGTTTTATTGTTTTAAACTTGAAGTGAGTTTGGTGACATAAAGCTGATCCGATCATTTATTCTAGCAAGATTCTGTGTGCAGCCAACAGTTTTAAACACCAGCATGTCATTCTGTCCCTTCACGTCTCATGCAGCCATGCGTGAATTCATGTGGTTTTATGAGCTGTCAGTGGCATAATTTGAAAATGAAAGTGGCACTTTTCTCTTGGCCTGACGTAGCAGTGGGACTCGCATCAAAAAGAAAACAGCTTCAGCTTTTGTGTGGACTGAACTAGTCATTTAGATGTCAAACCATTAGGCCACCTTAGAGCCCATTTCTTCTGGCTTTTTATTGACATTACATTTCCATAAGAATGGGCTGGAAGTTCATCTGCAGCAAAGACACAGAAAAGGAAAACCGGGATTCTCGGGAAAGCGAGCCAAAACCACTTATTCAGTTCTGTTTTCCTTCACACAACAAACACGAGTTTCAGTTCAGCTGCAACAACCGAAGCACAAACGCATGGTCAGAACTCTTATCGCGGATCTCAGAGACAAACAACTGCGTTCCAACAATGTTGAGTCAACATGAACCTTAACTGATTTAAAACACGAACTTTCCCATTCAGTAAGATACCTGCTTCCTTAAAATGTATGTAAGAATGCAAACAGCAAAGTAATGATAAAACAAATTATAATATAAAGAGGATGCAACATAATAACAACACCAATAATAATAATAACAATGAAGAAATAATATATTACATTTTCAAAACTAATACAAAGCATAACTAATGAATAATAATATTCATAAATCAAATTAAAACAAGTGGCTGAAGAATTCATCTAAATTATTCATCTGTCTTATCTCCCCAACTGTAAAATATTTTCTAACTTAATTACTTCTGTCTGAAAATACCCAAATAAAAATAAAACCCTAACGTGTCACGTTATGGGAGGGATGTTGGAAACCAAATTGCAGAAACCCAGGATGACACGAGGCAGGAGATGACGTAAAATAAATC